GGATTCTCCATCAAACTAGTTGTGTTGACACTCCGCAACAAAATGGAGTGGCTGAACGCAAACATAGACACTTGCTAAACATGGCACGAGCTTTGCTCTTTCAAGCCCATCTCCCAAAAATCTTTTGGGGGGATGCTATTTTGACTGCTGCATACCTTATAAACCGCACACCTACACCAGTTTTGCAAGGAAAAACACCTTATGAACGGCTCTTTAATTTAACACCCAATTACTCACATTTACGAGTATTTGGATGTTTGTGTTTTGCTTCCACTCATGCCCAAAAGCCATCCAAATTTGACAAACGTGCAACCCGTTGCATTTTTCTTGGTTATCCTTATGGAAAAAAGGGATACCGAGTCTACGATCTTGAGCTTCGCAAGGTTTTTGTGTCTCGTGATGTTACTTTCTTCGAAAAAGAGTTTCCTTTTCAACACACTTCCGCTGCCATTGAAAGTCCCATAATTCCTACTCCTAATGATTCTATTTTTCATGATGATCCTACCATACCACAAAGTCCCACTGAAACACCAACACATACTCCATCAGAGAATCATGAGCTTGAAAATATTGAAAATAACTCTCATCATATGGTTTCTCCTAGTCTACCAACCCCTGTACGTCGTCATTCCACAAGACCAACCAAACGACCCACTTTCCTTCAGAATTTTCATGTGGAAGCACCCCTCCCGTCTCGGCCTGGGCCATCATCTGCCTCTAACGTGGTCACAAATTCAGGTATGCCATACAGCCTGTCTCAAGTACTTTCCTATGATCGTTTATCTACCTCTCATAAAACTTTTGCCACCTCCTTAACCATTACAAAAGAACCAACTAGTTTCTTACAGGCCATGAAGGATCCTCAATGGCGCATAGCCATGCGCGATGAAATTCAAGCTCTCCAAGCAAACCATACATGGACACTTATGCCTCTCCCACCTGGCAAGAAACCCATAGGATGTAAATGGGTATACAAGGTGAAGCTTAAATCTGACGGAATCGTAGAGCGTTACAAGGCTCGTTTGGTTGCCAAAGGATATAGCCAGATTGAAGGACTTGATTATCGAGAGACTTTTGCTCCGGTTGCCAAGCTAGTTACTGTGCGTGTACTACTTAGTGTTTCTGCTATTCAAGGATGGCATCTTCACCAACTTGATGTCAACAATGCGTTCTTGCATGGTGATCTTGATGAAGATGTATACATGTCACTACCTCCTGGATTCGGACGAAAGGGGGAGACTCGAGTATGCAAACTTAATAAATCATTATATGGCTTGAAACAAGCTTCTAGACAATGGTTTTTGAAGCTATTTTTAGCCCTCAAGAGTGCTGGTTTTCAGCAATCAAAGGCAGACTACTCACTATTCGTCCAATCCCATAAAGGTAGTTTTACGGCAATCCTTGTTTATGTTGATGATGTGATTTTAGCAGGCAACAATCTGCAACAAATTGAAGATTCAAAGCAGTTCTTATCCAAGCAATTCAAACTCAAGGATCTTGGTCAACTCAAATACTTCTTGGGCATCGAAGTGGCAAGATGCTCAAAAGGCATTTCTCTCTCTCAAAGGAAATATGCGTTGGAGATACTAGAAGATGTTGGATTTTTGGGAGCTAAACCAGCAAGGTTTCCTATGGACCAAAACTTGGCTCTTACACAATCCAATGGAGACCTTCTGAGTGATCCTTTGTTGTATAGGCGCCTTGTAGGAAGATTGATCTATTTGACCATCACTAGACCAGACTTGGTCTATGCCGTCCATGTTTTAAGTCAATTTATGGACAAACCACGTGTACCACATCTTGAGGCAGCACATAGAGTCCTTAGATACTTGAAGCAAACACCAGGACAAGGTATTCTACTACCCACCACAAGTACACTTCAATTAAAGGCTTTTTGTGATGCGGATTGGGCACGCTGCAAAGACACAAGAAGATCTGTGACAGGGTATTGCGTATTTCTTGGACAATCACCCATTTCCTGGAAAACAAAGAAGCAGACTACGGTGGCTCGATCAACTGCCGAGGCAGAGTATCGCTCAATGGCCACTACATGTTGTGAAATTACTTGGTTAAAGAATGTTTTGAAGGACTTGGGAATCAAACATCTTCAACCGGTCATGTTGTTCTGTGATAACCAAGCTGCTTTACACATTGCCTCAAATCCGGTCTTCCATGAACGAACGAAGCATATCGAAATCGATTGTCACTTAGTTCGTGAGAAGGTTCAAGAGGGCTTGATCAAAACAGCACATGTGAGGACCAACAATCAAATTGCAGACTTATTCACTAAGGCGTTGAGTACATTACAGTTTGATACACTACTCAGCAAGTTGGGTGTTATTAACATACACTCCAACTTGAGGGGGAATGTTGAAGACAATCAAGTAAAATAGGAAAGCAAATATTGTATATTAACTCAATTAGTTTGTTACCATCTTAGTAAAGTCAGAGCTAATTTATAGGCATTAAAATAGGATCTAAATTGTATAGAATCGTGTATAAAGATGTATTCTTTTACTGTTGAAATACACAGCATATCATTTTTCACCAAAATACCTTCTTATTACACTAAAAAAGAAATCAATAATATTTATTTTTATTCATTCCACTTTCTAAATGGACCCGAATGCTTTGCTATCAATGAATAAGAAGATGATTCTAGAGATTCCAAGGGAAGTCCTTAAAGCTAGCTTATAAGACTTACAACTTTTGGATTCTAAACTTTGGTGTTGATCCGTTGGATAAGGCTAATAGTCATGTTGTTTGCTTGACGGAAGAAGGCTCTTATAATTTATGGGGAGAAAACTCGACATTTTATAGGTTGTACTTGGTCAAACAAACTTTGAGCTCTAGAGATCTAACATCACACTTTATTCTCTTCCATGCCTCAAGTTCTTGCAGCTTTTTACATTGCAAAGCTAATTAAGTAATCCAAGAATGGAATGGAGTGGTGAAAGTCGCATAATTCTAGTTGATTTTTGGTTCTTTCCAAATTTTGAGTCTAGGAATTTTTGACCAGATGAACCAATGTTTATCTTAACTATCTCCAGGGTCTTGATGGCTGCAGACTTATCTCTAGAGCATTGTCGAGCCTTTTCTTGACGGCTATCTACAATCATTAAATTTTAAGAAAACTTAGACAATATATGTTGAAAATAAGAAAACATTCAAAATATTTTTTAAATATCAGAAAAACATTATTATAATTAATCACTAAGTAGCTATGCAACATAAAACTTGAGAAAGTTATGATAATTACTGTAATTATATCATTCCTAAAATATTTTACAAAATTAACTACGGGAAAAAATCAAAAATACCACTCAAGATGATAAAAAATATTATTTATGTCAAGTCACTCAGAAATAAACAATTGTCATTTAATTAATAAAAAGAAAATAAAAAGTCACAAATGACGCTCAATTATTTAGATTGATATAAATAATAGGCATGTATAAAACCATGACAAATCATATGCTTTTCTCCTGGACTATTGTGTATGGAGAAATAAGACAAACACCTTTTAGAGCATATGAGTTTAGATTTTTACCTCTTACTTTTTATTAATATCCTTTTTTAGTCAAATAACTATAGTAGTTGAAAAGGCATTAATCAAGAATAAGAGATAAAAATTGAAACTCATACACTTTAAGAGTAAGTTTAATAATTTTCTCGTCGTTGTATTTAGGTTTTAAGCCCAATGTTGCATGAATATGTGTTGGAACTTAAACTAGGTACAATATGTGTAAATTGAACCCAAAAGAAACTAAGATGAAAAAAAGGAGAAATTATATTAAATAGCATATTTTTAAAACTAATGTGTCATTCAGTTCGTCTATTCGAGTTTTCAATTTGAATTGATATGTGATTTTATGTGAGAGCTTTTAATTGTAACAAAAAAAGTTAGATGTGACTTATTTGTGAGATTTTTTAACTGTAGCAAAATTAGAATTGAAAACTCGAATCTGTGAAATGAACGAGGCCTAAATTAAGTAAATAACATATTTCAAAACTATTTGAAGTAAATAACAATTTACGTGGTAAATAAATCATTTACCGTGTAAATAATTTATTTGCGAATGGTAAAAATACTTACGTAGTAAAAATTTTTAAAATTCTTTATTTACGTGAAAAAAAATCTTTTTACTAGTCGTAAATAAACCATTCACGCGGTAAATTAATCATTTTTGCGGTGAATGATTCATTTATAACGTAAATTATCATTTATTTTAAATAGTTTAAAAATATGTTATTTATTTACTTTAATTTAATTACGGGGGGGGGGGGGATAAATTCACGTTCTTTATTCTCTGTTCATTCTGTGCTAATTACAATATCTTTAGGACTAGTATGAATAGGAAAGCGTGTTTGTTTTTTCCTTCTCATTGTCGTTTAATCATGTGTTTACTTGCAATGTCCGTATTTAATTTGGTGAATACACGCAATACTATAAAGAATACAAAATAATAATAATACTGTCGATTCTTAAAAAGAAAAGAAAAAAAAAAGATAATGCTTATTGGGATTCTTTTATGCCGCCGGAGGAACATTCCGGGCACACAATAATTTGTAAAATTTTATCTTAAAATTTACAAATTTAAATAATAAAATTATAAAATTTATGATAATTTATAAATTTTAAATTTTATGATAATTTACGTTAAAATTTACAAACTAAAATAATTCATCATAAAATTTACAAATTTATAAATTATTATAAATTTATAATTTTATCGTTTGAGTTTATAAATTTTATGGTAAAATTTCATAAATTATCGTGTCTCTCAATCTCAATCTTGTGTCGTGAAAAAGTGCCATGGCAGCGCAAAAGAACCCTACTTATTGATATTGATTACTCACTCGCTAGAGGGAATGAGATTAATTATCAAATAGGAAGCAGAAATAGAACCAACTGGCAAACGGCACCAAAGCAAAGCCGAGAGCTCAAGAAAAGATGATGAAATTTATGGTTCAAATCACTGGCGTTTTTTACTGGATTACCAATTGCTTCTATTTTGTCAGTTTTGCACCGTTTCCATATTTTAACAAAAAAATATATTTATGGTAAAGATTACAGAAGACAAGAAAATGATTGTAAACTCTGTAATTTAAAGAGACCACGCATTGTCGTTTTCCCAACTTGTCTTCATTTTCCATCCAAAACCCACAAAATTCCCACACAACTCGACCGGTTCAGACAACTTAGAGCTGTAATCTCTCTCTCTCTCTCTCTCTCTCTCTCTCTCTCTTACCGACATGGCACACTGACCTGGTACAGATTGATCTTAAATTCTTGTTAGTATGTGTATATATAATTCACTACACACATATATGTTCGGCATTTCTTTGATTCACTGATCTAAGTGTTTCACTTCTAGAACCATTTTCAGCTTCTGGGTTTTTCCTTATATGTTGTTCCTGAACTATATGATCTTGTCTGGTTATTAAATTGCGTTTTTTTTAGTTTTTTTTACTTATTCTGACAGCGATCTTGTCGCTCTCCAATAGCCATATATATCTCTTTCAGTGTAATTAATATACTTCCTTGACATTATTGTTCTAACCGACATCTTGCTAAGTGGTCTGATTCTTTTTTCTAGAACAGATTATTGGGCCCAAAATTAGCTGATCGTCAATATCTTATTGCACAATTTTTTGGTGCTAGAGAAAAAAGGTGTGAGATTCTCTGTTCCTTAGTCTTTTGAATTATGGGTTATGTTCTTTTCTCATTGCTTTTTTGGTTATTCTGAAATTATCCTGTGTGTAATTGCAAAAGGGGGTCTTGATTTTTGGGTGGTTTTAAGCTCTGGTATGTGTTTGTTGTAGTGATTTGACACTGATGGCGGACTTGGTTGGGCCGAGATTGTACAGTTGTTGCAATTGCAGAAACCATGTCGCTCTTCATGATGATGTCATTTCTAAAGCTTTTCAGGTAAAGAACACAAAATTGCTGATTTTCTTTGTAGCTTTCAGTGCTTTATTACTTGTTGCAACATGAATGTTTGGATGATGAGGAACTCTTTTTTGGGCTAAAAGTTACAAGTATTGAATAACGGTCTGTTCTTTGGAAAATGAAGAAAGAGGTTCTCTTAGTTGGACCGTGTTAGATGAAGAACCAACTGTGTTGTTAAATTCAACTTGCTGAAGTACTAAGCCAAGTAGTTGTATTGTGCTTATTTATGTTTAGGTTGGTTTTTTAGGCACTATTTATACGATCTCTCTATATCTTGTGTTGGGGTTGAAACTGAGCTAGAGACGTGGGATGATCTTGTTTTGGCTGTGACTAATGCTTTCAGCATTAAAGGGATCTTGATTCGACGATTTGCAGGGAAGGAATGGTCGAGCCTTTCTGTTCTCTCATGCAATGAACATCATGGTGGGGCCTAAACAGAACAGGCACCTCATGACTGGTCTCCACACGGTTGCTGATGTCTACTGCTGCGACTGCCGCGAAGTGCTCGGTTGGAAGTACGAAAGAGCCTATGAAGAGACTCAGAAGTACAAGGAAGGAAAGTTCATACTCGAGAAATCCAAAATAGCCAAAGAAAACTGGTAGTGCTGGTATTGGGGTAGGTTTTGGGTTACAAGTGTAAAGGTCACTTCTACGTGTTCATACTGTCCGTGGAAAATTGGAAATATCGAAATGCTATTGTTCTTTTATATCTTGTGTGGATATTGTATTTGGGATGTTTTGTTAATAAAATTTCAATAATTCTCAGTTCAGCTACTTGTGTTCATAATTCATTAACCACATTCTTTGAACAAAATTGCCGATACTAGTCCTGCAAATACTTTCATGATTTGGCTGAAGATGATTAAAACTCAAAATCTTCAAAGGTTTTGGCTACCTTTGATCACCCAAATCCATGGAATTTGGATAAGAAACCCCTCTTGAGCATTGATAGATGAGAAAACTTGTTGGCCTCTTACAGTAGCTTCTATACGCTTTCCATACTACATTGTATTTCCTCACTGGCTCTCTTTAAAACCCTTGACATAATACTCTAGATTGTTTGTAGGCTTTTTAAATCTTTTCTTAAAATTCAGAAGAAAATGATGTCCAATTGACGCCTCTTTGTGCGAAGTAGCCTAAAGTGAGATGGCATAGTGTACTTATAAAAGGGAACGACACTCTTGCAGCAATGAATTTATCAAAGTTGCCGAAGCTCTAAAACTGGAAGAGAATGCTTTGACAAATTTCTGAGTCATTGCAACATAGAAAACTCTATGGATCGACAATAATCTCAATGCACTAGTGATTTAGCCAAAACAAAAATCCCAATGCACTAGTGATAATAACTTAAGCTATAGTAAAACCAACGAAATTCATCAATGTAAAGAGAGAAAAAAAAAATTTGATGCATTTCCTTGAAATAAACGGTCAAAAGGGCATTCATGTCATCAGAACAAATTTTAGAAAGAAAAAAAGAAGAATACTAAAAACAATTTGAAAGAATCTATCACGCAACACCTATTTTTTTCTTCGTTATCCACCTCTTTTTCGCATTTTCGATAGCTTGTTCCCTCATCTTCAAGAGTTCAAGACAACATTGGTGATAATGAGAGTCAATGGTTTGAAGCTCCAGTTTTAGCTCATCATCCTGATTTTTGTCTCCTAGAGATAAGGAACGGATGCTTGAGAGGCTAATATTTTTCGACTGATCAGAGCACGAATCAATGTAGGAGAATCCAGAGTTTGTTGTCATCTCATTGATCATGAGATTCTCAGCAAAATGAGCTTCATAACTATTCTCGTTATCGCATCCCTCAAGACTGTAAGATTCCAAAGCCTTGAAACTATCAGCATCTGAGGGAATTCTGATCCCATACTCCGCTGATAAATCTGAATCAGCTGATAAATCTGAATCAGCTGAAGCTTTGTTTTGAGTTTCCACATCCACCACAACATGTTGCCCATCAGCAGCCTCGGAAGGAGGCTTAGCTAATACCGGATCCCAAGGACACCTTAGTGGAGTTTCATCATTCAGAAGGATAGAGGAATGTCCATTTGAGCTATTTGCTGCAGTTGACAAAGTCTCAGATGAGGTTTTCCAGCTGGGTACAAGCTTCACAATCAAGTCGTCAATCAACTCAGCTATGACGGTCACATCTTCATTTGTGAGATCAAGCTGCTCAACCATCTCCCCAGCAATTGACACTGCAGTATCAGAGTCCAGATAGAATGCAAAATGGATATTTCTTATCCGACCTGTCAAACCACAAATAGAGGTTCAATTACACTTGGGAATAAATTTTTTTTTAACCAACTTAGAAAGGAATAAAGATAAATGAAAAAAAAAGAAAAAAAAAACTGCACCACAAATTTACTAACCAGAAGGGTCTCTGATGCGCAAAGTTAATGAAATTGTATTGTTACCGTCTTTTCCCCCTTTTAATCTGAACTCATTATTCTCAGTGTACCTCCAGAGTTCCAGAACTGAGGTGCTAGAAGTTTCATTGACATGTTTTACACAAGAGTCAACAGAGAGTTTCTTGCTGTTAGAGTCTATGTCCATTGGACGACATTCAGGCTGTGGAGAGTCAACTGATTTGGGAATAAAATTTGGTATTTCTGAAGGTTCACAGTCAAGATCCCTGAGATTTTCAGTAGCAAGGAAAGGATCTTTCAACAGTTCGATTGCAGACAATCTCATAGATGCAGGAACTAGACACTTCTCTATGAACTGCTTGACTTCGGGATCAACCACTTTAGCAAGGGAAGCTGGCTTTACACCCTGTAACAAAAGAAGAGGAACATTAGACCTACCATTTAGAATAAATACATGTTGAAACAAAATTTTAAATTTCTGGGCAATCTCAGCAACTTACAGAGGTAACCTTTTTAAAAATTTGAGCTGGATTTCTGCACTCACTGTATGGGTAATCACAAGTAACCATTTCTAATATGCACATGCCAAACGAATATATGTCAACAAGTTCGTTGTATTCCTCCTCATAAAGCTCAGGAGCCATAAACTCCGGAGTGCCTGTGCAAAAGAAAAAGATCAGCACTTACAGTTAAAAATTTAACCAATATCATACAGCAACAAGAAGAATAAAAACTATTACCAATAACACTACGAGCAGTGGGCTGCTGCATAACTATTGCCAATCCAAGGTCTCCAAGTTTAACTTCTCCCGTATTTCCATTAACAAATATGTTGTCACATTTAAGATCTCTATGAATAATACGAGGATTGTGAGAATGTAGATAGTGTAATCCTCGAAGAATCTGTCTAGCCCAGTTCTTGATGGCTTTCATATCGACATATTTATGCTTCTTACGATACCTATATCTCAACACCACGATGAATGAAACAAATTAAGAGAGAATCTAAGAAAAGAAAATGACAAAAAAAAAAGTATAGGAAAAGTTCAACAAAACACACCGCCTCAAACTGCCAGAAGTAAATAACTCCGTTATCATGTTAATGGTCTTGTTTGTATCATCCACCCAGGAGTTGTAGAACTTTATAATATTTTCATGTTTCAGAGACTTCAGCAGATGAACCTCGGAATATAATCTTTCCAGCTGGTCTGGTGATTGCATTAAATCCTCAATATTCACTTGGTTCCAAGCTACTTCAATTCCCTCAACTTCATCGAATGCCTTATATCTAATATAACATAGCAAGAAAAAAAAAAATTAGTATAGAGAAATATTCGCAACGAAAAAAGAAGTTTGATAGCTAACCACAAGGCAAAAGTCTAGTGTTGAATAAATAAGAAAAGTATGGTGCATACACAGTCTTGAATGCTCCCCTTCCCAGAACTTCTTCATACTGAAGACAGAAACACAACATAGACAAAGATTATATCGCTTATAACATAAAGCAATGAACTGAGTGGCAATTCAGGAATGTTGGAAAATGAAAGTACTCACTATGGCAATCATAAGGCAACAACACATTATACGCATTTGTGTTCTATTGTAAATAAACCATGAGGTGAAGACAAAATTCCTAGACCAAAATTCCCTGAATCAAGATATACTCGGATTTACAGTTTAGTCTGCTGGTGACTTTAGGCGTAGAAAAGTGCCATCTACTGATGCTAATTGGTTCAAGTTTATGGAAAACCATGGCAATTTTTCAACAAGGATAACAAATTCTCTGAAAACAAAATTTCCTTAAAAAAACAAAAGGCTGATCCATACACTCATTCCAAAATGAAACTAATTTTTCCTTGGTTCCATAGAATATGATTGAAAAATCTTACATGCACTAGAAAGTCAGCTCTGAGAAAATAACAAATTGTCAAATTGATCCATAATAACGCTACATTACCTCGCTCCTTATTGTGAACACAAAAACTGTATAGAATGCGAAAATTGAAAGAAAACGTGTTCTTCTCCTCATACAAAGGAAATTAATTAGAATTAGCAATACCAATATTGAAAAAATCAACGCAAAATTCCGATTACATACCCGTAAATATCGTCCAGTTGGATCTCTCTCCACAACTCCACCATCGTCAGAGTTAGAATTCACACCTATACACGAATCCATCGCGAAAACGACGACGAAAAAATTCCCAAAAACAAATCTTCAGGAAGAAAAAAGAATCTCGAAAAAAAAAAACAAGAAAATCAAACCACACCAAACCGCAAACCCTGTCAAATCAATTCGCAGTTCAAGCTCGAAGGAATCAGAAGAGAACGGGAACGAAGACACTGTTCAGAGAACGCCTCACAAGCAACGGAATATGAATCGAACGCCGATCGGAAGCGGAACCGGCATCCGACGATACAGACACCGAAGGACCCAAAACCCATGCCGGAAACGGAACGGAAAACTCTCAGACCTATCCCAGACTTAGCCATGGCGATCTCTGCATCTTTCGGAAGAAAAAATTGATGGGAAAAACGAGGAAAAGAGAAAAAGCCCCAAATTGAGAAACGGAAACCCTAGCAGAGAAGGAGAGAGATTAGGGAAGATGGATGAATGGACTAACAGTGATTAAGGAATGTTTAGGTAGCGACGGAAAATTAGAAAGGGGGCGGTTTTTGGTGCGGTTAGATCGGAAGAATTGTACGGGAGAGCATTGTTTGTTAATATATAATAAATTCAGTTTTTAGAGAGAGAATGGGAATAAAAATAGGAAGGAAAAAACAAACTTGACTTTGGTTTATGAATTTATAATTTTAATTTTAAAAATTTAAATTTTTTTATGAAAGCTCTTATCTAGACAATGTTAGGGTCTAGTCTGGGCCCAAGCCTTTTGCGGATTGGTTCTGACCCTTTTTATATTTATTATCATATTTAATAAAAAATATATATATTATGTGTATATATGTGATTTTATTAAATTGAAATAATATGAATAAGTACGCATAAATGATTGTCTTGTTAAAACTCTTACTAAGTAAAACTTGTGAAGAGATCGGAACAAAACCTTGGCGAAGGAAAAAAAATGCAGTATACAAGGATAAGTAAATTGTACTATGACTGAATTGCTTTCAGAAGATTCTGTTATGTCTAAATTTGAAAAAATAGCCTAGAAGTGTATCATCTGTATAATGTTGTTTTCATCATCTTTTCAGTCTTTCACGCACATTAGCCCCTCTAAGATATTCGGGTACATTCTGCTCCTCTTGTCGTCAAGAATTTGATTACTTGTACTAAATGCTTGCTTCGATGCGACCGTTAACACTAGAGTTGTCAGAATGTCACATGCTATTATGGATAATGTTGGAAAACGATATGTCTTGCTCTTCCACCACTATAAGGTGTCTAGTTTGTCATCACCAATTGCAAAATTTAATTCAAAATATTGGACTAGTTCTGAAGACGCTCCATGTGTTGATGACGATCCCGATACTTTCTCCTTCCTCTTCAAGAAGCTCCATGATGAACCTTTAGGCCCTGAACTGTTCCTTGACGTCGAAGTTGCATGTTGTTGTTATTGTTGTCATGTTCCGTATTTTTTTTTTCATACAATGCAAACAAGTGTTCTAACATTTCCTAGCATCGTCAATGTTTATTTCCATATCAATACATAAATTATCTGTTGTAGCGGAAATCAAAGATTCGGGCTTATCTAATCCACATCTAGGATCTAAAATTGTTGCTAAATGCATATAAAATAGGACAACCGGCACAATAATTTTTAAATTTAGCTTCCGTTTCATAAACTAGTGCAAAAAGATCAGTATCCCTATAATAAACAAATGTTTCCGAAATATTAAATAATTGATGCAAAGCTAGATGCGTAGTAGGAGAATACACACTAGAAAGTAATGCAGTAGCATTATAGAATACTTCTAAAATTTTTAAAAATTACTCACCAATCTTTAAATCTGCATCATAAATAAAATGCTCACCATGCTTACTGTTCACATACGTAGTGATGATCTGTTGATACGAAATTACAGTTTTCAACATTAAGTAGATGGAGTTCCACCTATGTCTCACATATGTTGGAAACTTTCTTGGCCGCATCTGGCTGTTCTTGCAATATTATCGAAATTCTTGAAGCCGAGCTCCAAAACTAGATATGAAAGGCGACGATTCTCTAATTTTTATTAGATGATGGGATATAGATTCAATACTTGCTTGTACTACTAAATTTATTATATGACATGCAGAACGTTGATGAAAAAATTCTCCACCAAAAGGTAGTTTCAAATTTACTTTAACACATGTTAATAGCAGTTGTGTTAGTTGATGCACTATCAAAAGTAATTGTTAAAACTTTATCTTCAATGCTATAAAAATTAAAAATTTCCATTATAGTAGTTAAAATAGCATGTGCATTATGTGGAAACGGGCATAAATGAAAACCAATAATTCACTTTTGTAAGACCTAATCCCCGTCAACATAATGCGCCGTAACGCATAAATAACCAGTTTTATTACAATCCTCCCAAAGATCAGAAGTGCAAGAGATTATAGCATTGAAAGACCTAAAATTATCAATAAGTGATTGTCTCATTGCATAAAAAACTTTCATGAAATCAGCTCTAGCTGTGTTTCTACTTACCCGTTTAAATTGTGGACAAAATGTTATCTGAATAAATTCTTCAAATGCCGAATCATCTGCAAAAGACAATGGTAATTCGACACTAGCTAAAAATTTATCTAGTGCCTCACGAGCACGTTGTGCATCATATGTAAAATTTTGTAAATTTTGTGATGTGAGTGACAATGTTTGTTGGCAGGAGTCTACACTACCACCTTGGTGTAATGGTAGACATGTTTTCCAATATCTATCTAGATGGCCAGTACCCCCACCTTGTTTTGTTAGAAAAATGTTTTTTGTAATATTTACATACCGCATGCATTTCAACTTCACGTGTTTTTGGATTAGGTCGTAGCTCATCGGTGAAATGTTGCCATGCAGGAGCATTGCAGGGTCTTTTTTCCATGGCACGTTCTCCAACATCCTCATTATGCACCGATTGATTATCAACCGGAACATTATCCGGTTTAGTAGGGTTGGAGTTGTGCATCAAAATTTCATCCTCAAAAAATAGTTGATCTCCAAAATCAGGGAAATCAGGCAAATTTCCTTCCGCCATTTTCTATAAAAAAAAAACATAAATTAATGTTAATAATGTTGGAAATTGTGTCCTATAAGCATGAAATGTAATATGATATTTATTATTTATTTAATAAAAGAGTTTATTCATTATTTTATGTGCATATATTTATGAATATTTTATGAATATCAATGAAAATAACATGATTATTTATGTAACCTTAAACATTGTATAGAAGTGTTATATACGAGAGGATAATGTTTAAGAATAATAATCAAAAAGCAATGTTCATAATGAATTTAATTAAAGTTTGGAATCTTTAATTAAAACATTATTAATACATGTCATTCCCATTCAGAATGGAACGGTGTTATCCGCACTATTGATATGGCGAGATATTGAATGAGTGTATTTTGCATAATGAGATTATGTGGAACAAGGACACAGACACAATATGAATTTCTAATAATTCCATTAAGTATAGAAATTCTAATTGAGTTTACCAATGGTCATATATAGGATGATTTTAATCCTGAGTTCTTAACAGACTCCTATTTATGGATTTGTGTCTTTTGATTTACTTGGTACGGATTCTGAGATCCTGAGTCCTATTCCTTGTATTTTGGAGACATGATGAAGTAGGTAGCCGGGAATGTTATTACACGAGATGGAATCCATTCCTTCTTAAC